CTTATTTTTTGGACACTCATGAGAAGACCTATAAAGGGGGGGTCAATTATTGTAATGGGAGAGTTATTTTTTCTCTCCTCCCTCACTATTCATCCCTCTCCCTCATCTCAATATGAGGAGATAAAAACAAAGAAAAATGCACATGAATAAAGAGGATGTTTTCCCACAAATTCAAATAGTATTTTTACGTTGATACAATTTTGCATATTAACAAGTGACACCTCAACTTGCAACTGAATTTTCAATTGAACCTGAATCATTCGGGTTTGATGTTGTAATTCTTAAAGATTAGTCGGTTAATCACTTTCTAATTTAATTAAGCAACTTTTAGAACCAAAAGAGAAGAAGTTGTATACGTAGGCTCGCATGAGATAGACGATTTCGTAAAAGAACAGTTTATAGGTTTTTGGATTGAAATACATGCTCGTCTATGTCATTTCCATTGTTACAAGAGTTATTGGGATCGGCCCTTGGGCCGGTGTTGTATGCTTGAACTTGTTCATATATATTTAATCCCTTGTTACGAAAAGTTATTGGAAGCGAACTGCCAGATGCTTAAGCAAGAGCGTCAATCTTGGACCGAACAATTAATTGCCCGTTTTGCGTCTAGAACTAGAATAATATCCCCGACTCTCTAGCTTCTTTATCATTGTTTGATGCGTGTTCTTGAGTTGGTTACTGATTTTGCGTTTTTTTGATATTTCTTAGCTGATAGTTCAAACCAAACCTTCTTGATTAGAGTGTTTAGGTCTTATTTTCTTTTTGTGTGTGATCAACACTAAATCTGGATTCCGAACCGCCTTCCTCGAGAGATCGACCCAAGGTCGAGAATCATCCCGTACTCGGTAAAAATATAATTTGCTGCAACACTTAATAACTGTGTTTAGACCATTAGTAAACTAAATAACCTTCCAATAGCTAGGCATTCTGGACATAAGTTTGCAAAAGGACTAACATAAATAATTTCATCTCTTGATAATCTCTGTTGGATCCAAACTTTGAAAGCATTGGGTCTGATGATGAAAGTTCTAATAATTCATTCAGAAAAATTAAATTATTTTTCCTACTAAAATTATAAAAGTCGTGAAATTTATTTCTATTATTTACAATTTTTACTTGTAATTTCAATATGCCAAAAGGAACTGTAGAGATTTGATATCCAACATTTAAGTCGGTCGAAATTCCCCGAATTCAAAATAAGTCTGATCTTCCCGGCCAAGTCATAGACGTAGCTCGGATTCTTTTGATGGCTTGGGACCCGAGGTCTGAGATGGGGGTATCTGTTATGCCAAGCGTCCATAAGGTCGGGTACGCCAAGGCTTGCCTCGGTCGCGCTCTGATAAGTCTTGTTGCGGCCGAAGATGATTATCGACTCAATGCTGCTGAATTGAATAAGAAGAAGGATACGTTGGAGCTGCGTAATGGGACAATTGCCTTCTTACAAGAGAAGTCGGCTAAGTCAGAAGCCGCATGGAAAGAGAAGATGACTGAGAAGGATGTCCAGATCGGGGTGGCGCAAGAGGAAATCGCCGTTCTGATGGCGGAGAAGGAGCACCTTGTCTTAGAGCAAACTGCCAAATCCCATGAAGATCAACTTCTCAGATGTGGAGTTGCTTCGGAAGGAGCGTGAGGAGCATCAGCAGACCCGGCGTGACCACTCAGAGAAAGAAGTGTTGATAAGGAGTCGTGAAGCGCACCAGTCCGATGTGGCCAGACTTGAAAAGGAGAAGATTACGCACGGCGAGTTTATGTACAAAGAGGGTTTGCATGCAGGGAAAGATGCTTGAGGTGGCGCCGACAAGGAGTCGGAAGATGTCGCAGATAAAGAGTCAAAAGAAACCTGTTAGAGTAGGGTACCCGACGTTCCAATCTAATTGGACGTATTCTACTTGTAAATACAGTCTATTGGAATTATATTATGAATAAGGCATTTCTTTATCTTAAGAGAAAGCATTTATCTTATAATTGCACTTAAGATAAAATCCCTAGATCACTTATGGTTATAAGGTATGGTTGCGCATAGAGATGGTGATCATGGAATATATCTTGAAAGCCGTGATCTTAAATACAGTTCCAAGTCGATGGATGTTTCGAGATGGGATATCGAATAATCCATAAAAGATTTGTACATAGTTTGTACGCTTGTTGGACAAGAATATTGCATTCCATCAACATTAGCGTAAGACGTAAGTACATTTATGTGGGTGCTTGTTAGAGAACAAGTTCACTGAACATGACCGTATGAAAATTCTTAATGAAGAATTTATTCAGTCGAATAAGAATTTTCATGTTACAATAGTACATGACTAATCCTAAGACTTGAGGCACAATGGTAACTTTGTGCATATTACATTCTACTTTGATTTATCCTTTTGGTAGCTAGCACTATCGTTTAAAGGGATAAGTTGGGTATTATGTTAATATGTATGGAAGTTTGTTAGTGGCCAATAAAGGATTCGACACTTATGAAGATAAGTGAATTTCCTATGTGTTTCATAGTTATTAATCCAAAGTCCTTGGCCAAGGCAGAGATGAATAGTAATTCATAACAGGGTTAATAAACTTGAAATAGAATCATAGTTATTAAGTCAATTTGGGTTTCGACAAAATCATACCCAAGACTTAATCGGGAAATTAGATGTCGAAAGGATTTTACATGTATGGAGTTGTAATCGGAATAGGTTTACTCGCTATTCACTTAATACTAGATTCATGCTACTTGCTAGGTGTTTCCATGATATGTGGGTTCTTGAATTAAAGGGTTAATTCATGAATAAGAGTTAATGTGATTAACTCAAATTACAAAGAGTTGTAAACCCACTACTAGTATTAAGGTGAACCTAAAAGGTCACACCTATTATGAACAAAGGTGAAAATTGTATTTCTAAAGAGTTAGAATTAATTGACATAATCTAATTTGATTAGATATCAATTAAAAGGAATATATTAATCAATAAGATTGATTAATTACATTTTGGATATTACTTTAGTAATTAAGTTAATTACTAAATTAATATGTTGGAATTTAAAATTGGATTTTAAATTTCCAAACCAAAATAATAATAATATGATTATTATAATATGGATGTAAATTGGGAAAATGAATATAATAATAAAGTCTTGAAAAGATTCTCAAGATTTATTATTCTATTATTATTTTTATCTTTAAATATGATTTAAGGATTAAAATAATAAATATGATTATAATAAAATGGTGGTTAAATTTGATTTGAACCACTTAACATTATTTATTATTTTCAAAGTCAATAGTTAGTAAATTCAAAGTCAATAGTTAGTAAATATTATTTAAATAAAATCTGATTTTATTTAAATATTACTTATTGTTGATTATTTTATGCTAAAATGTTTAGTATAAATAGATGCAAAATGGTTTTGCATTTAAGGGAAATTCATTCCTAAAATTTCTAAGTGTTAGAAAGAAGAATAGTTCTTCATAAACATCAAGAAAGAGTTCTTGAAATTTCCCAAAATAAAATTCATACATATTCCTATACAAGAAAACCGAGACATTCCTACTAGCGAAGGAAGGTCGTCGGAACCGGGCTTCATAGGGTGGATACGTTTAGAGGGAAGACACTTGAATTCCTAAAGTGAGTAACCTCAATCCGTTGAAGTTATCAAACCGGGAACCGATTCCCACAATCCACATCGTCGTTGAAGGAGTTCAAGACATACGGTAAATATTTGTACTGGTACTTAATTTTATATAACAAATCAAAATTTGTATATGATGCATGTTTTAAAGATGACGATCAGTTAATTCGAAATTAGTATGTACGGGTGTTGTATTTATACGATAAATACTTACTTTGAAAAAATTTAAATTCCGCTGCTTAAAGCCCGTACGGTACTAGCGAACCCAACAAAACCGACTTGAATCTTGAGTTAAACACCTGCTTGAATCTTAGATGGGTGATTGACCTAGTTCAGTCGGGTCTTTTTATTGAGGAAGTTGTAGAAGAAAAATTTTAATCATGAGATCAAGACTATGCCCGTGCCTGCGGAGGATGACGAGCGGGAGTTTTGTGAGTGGATGTTGGGTCAAACCGACGCCCAAGCGGTGGACCCCACATTCTCCCTCTTAGTGAAGAAAGGGAGGCTCTTCTCCGTAGAGTGTTCGTTGATATGATCTTAGTACGAGAAAAGGAAAAAAGGGTTGAGTTCGCCGAGGTTTATGTGGACCTATTACTATTAATTAGTACAACAACAACAACAACAACAACAACATACCCAGTATATTCCCAACAGGTTGGGGTCTGGGAGGTCAGTTGTACGCGGACCTTACCCTTGTAATTATACAAGGAGGCTGTTTCCGTAGCGACCCAAGGTGCATTGCGCCGTTTGATATTTTTTTTTTTTCTAGAAACTTCACTAATAGAAGAAGCACTAGAATTTAATTGAGCCCTTTTGATCTAGTCCATTATTAGCACTATGCCAGGAGAATTGTCAACAATGACTCTTCCGACTCCATTAGTAATTGATAAAATTATATATCAAATAAAATTATCTATAAAGTCATTACATATAAATTCAAATACTAACTCTAATTGCTATGATTAAAAAACTCGTCCATAAATAAAGGAAAAAACTAAAGTCCCGTAACGAGATGGTTCCTTCATTGTTTCAACCAATTAGATTACAACAATGTGTGCAGTTAATACAACTTCACTGTATCTAAAGGCTAGTAATAATTGTGAATATCCAACGATGTAAAATAAATGAACGGAATCATACTGGAATCATATACTGTTACGAGATTGTAGTCATTCCCATAAATATAATCATTGCTTTATTTTAGGAATGACTGAGTCATGACAAGCAGAAGTTTTGAGTAAAGCTTGCATTTCCACAACTCACTTTACAATTACAACAACAATACTACATTCTTCTTCTTCCGGCTATAAAATGATAAAGGTATACAAGAGAGATCTAGTATTTGCTACAGTATTTTTCTTCCTTTTTTTTCATTTTAAAAATCATCATTTCTCTTCTCCATTACTGGAATTTAGTCGTTTTAATCTCTGGTCAAGCTCTGCCATGACCGCCGGCTCTTGCTTCTTCCTCTGCTTTGATAAAGTGGTGGTTGTCATAAGCCCTATCTTGTCAAAGGCAACCTGCAAACCGAGTGCTTTTAGCACATGAAACCACAGAGCCGTCTGATGCATGCAAATAAATAAATGAATAGGAAAACAATAAATATGCGTGCTTTATTTAGTGTAGCTGTAGGTGAAGCTTCTTTCTGAGAGTAAGGAAATGATAGCTATACTATCTAATGCAGCAACCATTATATGTTGAATTGAATAACGATAATAAGAAAACTAAGGAACAAGTTATAGCTTTTACCGTTAATAGTTCATCAGGATCAAAGAGGTGATGTGTAGTTCTCTGTATTACATTAATCACATCACCAACCTGATGTGTTATAAGCAACTCTTCTTCGTTCATCTGAAAGTCATAAAAAAAATATTATTAGACATTACCATTAGAACTCATCACTGTATTCAGTTATTTAAGGGGAAAAAGTCTCATATTATCAGTCGTCCTTTCCAAATATAGTTACCTTAAAAATTGCTAATGCCACATTGAATAGAACATTTGCACCTTCATAGAAAAGAATGTCCCAAACACGTAGGGTTGTCTGAAAGAAGTAACAACGACAAACTTTTTACTGATTTGGCTGATTCAAGTATTTCAGATCAAGCTAGTCCGATTGATGATGATGATGGTAATAATATTAAGAAGCAAGAAGAGAAATTGTAACCTCTGAAGGCAAACTTTTGGAAAAGAGGCATATAAACCATTCGGTGCAGACAAGGGAAACATCAAACTCCAAAGTTTCCAAATGAGCAGCTATCCTGAAGATATATTGTTTCTCATCAATCTGTATGAAACTTAAAATAAGGTCATGTATATGACATCTACAACTATATAAAGAAAATGAGAGAAAACCTTGGACATTTCTTGGTTAGGAGATCTCTGAACACTCTTTGATCAACATGACATCCAGACAAGTTGCTCGTGTAGCAATCATTAAACAGCACATTTTCTAGGAGCACAGCAAGCATCCAGAAAGCTTCTTCTTCAGTTTTCATCACAAGCAGCAACATTGCAGCAACATAATTTAAACCCTGTGCCAGCCAGATTTTATGTAGCAAAATGTGACCAAACCAGCATTTCTTCTAAAAAATTACATATTTAAGCAAATAATAGTATTGTATTTCTCAATATCAGAAAGAAGATGCACCTGACAGTAACCAACATCAGAATCTCTAAATGAATAACCTACAAGAACGCGTCTCAGAGCAGCATGTCCCTCGGGTGTGTCCAACCATGGGTGACCGGGGAAAGTCCTCGGCAGGTCCTACCACCCAATATTACCCGCGTTAATAACAGATTTAATAAGCTTGCCAAATACATTGGCCATTTACAGAGAAACAGATAAGCAAGGGGTAGCTAGCAATTTTCAACTTTAGAATTAATCTTATCCAATTAAGATTTTGAAGGCATCACCATCAAAAGGTATAATAATAGCAAGCTAAAACCATCATCACCATTCACATAATATGATCACACAACCATACATACATACATACATACATGATCGATCTGCTTGGTGGAAGCGGTAACCTTGTCTTGAACAGCAGTGATGAGGTCATTGTAATAGCTATCCGGAACAGTGGATTTCTTCTTGGCGGCCCCGGACAGTGTAAACCAAACCTTAGGGCGGAGATTAAGAGGGATGCCCTTGTAGATGAGCCTCTTGAGAGTGACGGCATTGACCAAGGCTGAGAACCTAAGGGAGGATTTGAGGGTGGAGGAGACGTGTGTCTCCAGATACCAATTTACGCCTTTGCTCGCCTCCAATGCCCACCACACCCGTCCCTGTTGCCTCGCCTTCTCCCGTACCTCATTCAACACGTTCACATCATCCACATTACCTGTCACCATCCATATTTCCATTATCAATTCTACACATAAATGACTAATCACAGTGGTTGATGTATACGTAGGGAAATTCGCAAATATTGACATATTTTCAATTCGTTTCCGATCCAAATATCAGTTACCGATGGGCTTTGTGAAAGACAAGGGTGACATTTTGGCAGACACACACACGCACATACACAAAAAGGGAAAACATTACATTATTATTACCTTCGACAATGAATCCATAGAGATCCTGGAATTTGACGGTAATGTTGGCCCTCCTAGCGCGGATGCTCGGCCGTAAAACGGATATCTGAGACTGGTACTCCAATGCCAGGTCGCGTTTGCTCTGGGTCCCACCTACTCCTCCTCCTCCTCCATACATCGTATTTTATCTATGCCCTTGCACGCGCACAGAGAGAGAAAAAAATCGAGTGCGTGCTATCAGATCAGGATCAGATCAGAAGAGAAAGAAAATGAAGAAGATTAGATCTTCGAGACCAATTTTTCGAATGATGATGATGGATGCGGAAAATTTTCAGTCAGCTATTTTCCTGAAGCTAATTTGGAAATAAATATAAAAATAAACAAGGGCAGGAAATAAGATAGGTCATAGGAGTGCAGCTCCAAAATGAATCAACAATCAACGGAACTCAAAAATGATANATATTGTTGGTTTGTTAACAAGTAACAACCGGTATGCCACTAGTGCCTAATAAGTGTATGTATTATATTAATTATTATATATAAATAATTAGGCTTCTATGCACTAAGAGCACGTCTAGTAGGTTATGGATGATACATGATCTATACAAAAATTAAATCTCTACTTATATAAAAGGACATCCTATTTACTAGAAATAATAGGCAGAAAAATCAAAGTTAATTAATACTTACTGAAAATAAAATTACATTAATTATAGATTTGTTTTGGTATTTATAGTCTTGACATTAAAGATTTGTTATGTAATATAAATCAGAACCGATTTTTTACCTTTGTTGGAAAAGTCAAAGGTAAATATAAATTTTTTTATCTCATAACATCGATTTAGTTAAAAAAAATCCCATAAGATCATGATTAAAATCATAATAAAACTCATGATAATTAAGGAACTTTTGTAACTATAATAAAAACATTACAAAACAAAAGAATCATAATGGGACATTGTGATTAATCTGTAAAATTGCAAACATGTCAAATGGCGCCATTACTTTTAATCCAAAAAGAGTTTAAAAATGCAAATATGGATAGATTTTTTTAAGAGAATCTAAACGATCTTAAGATTCCCAAACATATGAAACGTGTATGCATAAAAATCTCATTTCTATGAACATATATCATAAATATGAGAAGAAAATTATGTTTCTTTTCATGGGAGGTAACTAAGTTTTCAATGTTTCAATATATATACAAAATTTTACTTAAATTTTTAAATAATTTAAAAGTATTCAATGTTTAAACTAAATGATAAATGATTTATAAATCTACATTTTATTTAAATATGTATTTTGATTTATATTAAAAATAATTTTAAATGTAACAAAATTTATTTCAAAAATATCAATATTTTCGATGGACTGGTGTTGACCGGTTTGCTAGCCAACATTTTATTCAAGCGAACCGGACTGGTCGATAAACCAATTCCCTATCTATCCGGTCAGAGTACTGTCCGGTCTGGTCCAATTTTAAAAAGAATGGGTAAATCATGATTAATATTATGTATATATTTAATTTATAATACAATCGTAATATTATTTCCCCGTGCATTGCACGGGCCACGTACTAGTTGCATTGCACGAGATTCGTACTAGTTCACAAAATTAAAGTCAAACCAATTATATGAGGTAGACATTAAAAATGAAACTAGGACCTTCAGTATTATGCTCCCACATTTTATGAGTGAAGCAAAATTAATGTTTCCTACACAACTCGTCACTTGTCCAACCATAGTTTTGTTCTTGCTTATTCTTCTCTCCACCAAACCATGCTCAATTTTGATGGATTTCTTTTCATTTTCAATACAAATCTTGAGAGATATTAGTTGTTTCTCGAGAGTTTGGATTCCGAAGCTGGTGGACTCATAATTGTCTCAGTTGGAGTTTTCAGATATATCTTTCTCGACCCCTTGATCACTTGCATCCACATACGGATTCTCGTGGTCGTGGGTATACCTGAATGAGTTGGAGCATTCCTTGAAAGCTTGTTGAGTGTTCAATTGCTGCAAGAAAAGTGCCCGGACTATCAGTCTCAAAGGCATCATCTCGTTTTGAACCGCTTGGATGCAAGCTTCTTGTGATAGTTTCTGGCAGTTGAGATATCTGCATATCAATCCTTTCACTTGTTGTGATAAATCCTGGTGCAACTGCCAATACACATTTATATTCTCTATTTCTGAGAGCACAAATCTATGTGGGCATACACTAGAGAGAGTTAGGTAGGTAGGTACCTGGAAGTAGGTACTTATTGCTGTGTAGAGATAATCGTGGGTTTGCCTGCTAGATATGGGAACGATCTCTATGAGATTGACAAACCTCTCGTGACCCAACTCTGAGTTATGGGCAGCAACCTGATTCAGATATAAATCCCATAGTTGTGCAACGATAAAGTCATCATGTTTCATATGAGGAGAATCTGATGATGAGGCCGCCGAGTAGTAGTAGTAGTAGTATGTGGAGAACAAAGTCTCCATGACTGACAAATTAGTCGAATCCAGAAAATCTTGGACGCGAGCCAAATGCAGGGAGGATACAATCTGCTTCTGCAGCTTCCCAGCACCTTGGTAATATATGAGCCCCAGCTGAATACATTTCGAGAGCAACGAGAAATAAAACCCAAGGGGGAGCACAACTTTATTAGCAGCAGTAGTGGCCTTGGGGAGCAAGTCGAGAACCACTTGCAGCAGCAGCACACCAACATTAACCTCGTGATGATGATGAGACGAGAGCACCCACTCGTCTGCATACAAGAGCACAATAGGGGTGACGTATTTCTCCTTCATCCCCAACGACCCAACTACCCTCTTGAAAAACTCTAGTGGAAGATTGATGAGGTTCCCGATCCATGGATCCTGGCTGATGATGATGTCCTTTGCATTCCATTCAGTATTAGCTGTGAGAGCCTCAACAGTGACAACCGGGTGATCCCTCCTAGAGCAGGTCGAGAATCTCCGTGGATGCCATGAAGGCGAGGGTCTCGATGCAGCAACTGACCATCAGAATACGGCAGTCCTCGGCCCACGAGAGTAGGGCCCCCCCACAACGAGGGTGTGGTCCCACCTATGGAGGACCACTTGGTTGAGGTAAATGTCGAAACGTTGCCGGGGGAGAGATACTCCGTCATGCCCAGGAATTCAGCTGCGCACGTTCGTGGGGTCCACCAGAGTCGACGACCCGTACATGAAGAGGGCTACAAATAAAAAAGTTATAAAGTTTTAAAAATAAAAAAATACATATTTATAATAACTAGTAACGTGCACGTGCGATGCACGTGGTATCGAATGATTTTTGCTGAGTAAGTTTGTAAAATAAATTAATTTATTTATTCAACATATCATTGCAGGAATGAAATAAAATATAGGATAAATGAATTCATATGTGATTTTTTTATTTATAATTAGCGTAATGATGTCCTAATATAAAAAGAGTGAAATAACGTTTTACAACTCCCAACTAAAATATATAAAAAACAAATCCTTAATACAAAAACCACTAAGATTTTCTTTCATCTTTCTTATAAGAAACATTCATACTCGATGGAGTCTAATACATCAATACTATTGCAAAATTTCTCTTAATTCATTTGGCAAAACGCTAATTTTATTCAAACACTTAAGAAACATTCTGACCCAACATATAGTTAAACTTCATGATCGTATAATCTTTATAATAAGGTACTTCTACTAACAATGCATAAATATCTCTATAACATAACTAATTGTGTCATTAAAATTGCTGGTATTTTTTTATCATTGTATAAACTACTACATTCCTTTGTCTCTAGACATATTGGTGCCTACCCCATTGATGCATCGCCCCACGAGGTGGGAATGAATTTATCTCCAAATAAAAGTTGACTTTCCAAAATTTTGGTTACATGTACTTCTCCTGAGGTGCTAAATTATTTTTTGAAATCATCATACATTACCTGAAAGTACCTCTAAAGTAATTGCACATACGTTCGAGTACAATATACCAATGAGATTATAAATATTTCTATAAAAAGTGACAATTTCATTCGAACATTCAAAATTGTTTTGATACTCCGACATTGTTATTTATTTGGAATATAGACGAACAATATAATCTATTATTTGAAAATTATTGACCATCATGTGGTTGTTGGAATGATTTTAGAATTGTTTATCATAATATCTTTCATATTCGTTTGAATATGCAATATTTGTGTGCCTAATAACTTCTTTAATGCTTTTATTGTCCAACATTATTCATCATACAAAATGATTATAAAATTCAAGATAAAGATCATTTCTTTATTCTCCAACAATGAAAAAATAAAACAATCAAAACAATGAGAAAATATTGAGAAACATATCATTTATTAAAATATTTGATAGGAGAAGAGTTAGAATTCTATTATATTACGATACTCTTAGTCATCTGCAAAGTTTATTATTATGGAGTCATGATTAAAATATACATTATGTATTACAAATTTTTTGATTTTTTAATTACTTAAAATTAAAAATAAATAATATAGGATCATTATTTATGAAAACCAATTTCTTACAGAATCCCTATATTTAAACTGTAGCAGCAAAAAAGTAGTAATTTTCAAAGACTTTTTGTTCGTATATATTGGTATTCATACTTGTCTAAGAAAATTCACACGTATTCTTTTTCTTATTGTGTTACTATTATATTATTTGTTTCTTATTCTATAGATAAATAATATTTTATTTGCTAAATAATTAAAGCACATTTATATGAATTGCGTTATTTTTTGTATGTGTTTTATATAATGATGTTTTCAAATTATCTTTTTTATTAGGCTGCAACTACTATAATCACATAAGATATAATGTTAATATAATATATTTGATAAAAATGTACTTTTTATACGAATTATTAGATTAAAAAGTTTACAATTTTTTTCAATGTTTGATAAAATATTAGGTAACTAAGTCATTTTTATAATCACTAGATACATATATGGTACCACCTTTATAGGGTTCTTTTTCAAATAATAGTTTAACGTACAACTCATTTAATTGTCTTTTTAATTCACATAGCTAATGTTATCTCATTTTCCTTCTCTGGCCTAGTCTTTTCCTTCTTTTATCTATGATTTCACTTCGCTTCGCTTCGCTTCGTTTGTACCTAAGGTGCATTCGCCATGGTTTCAGCATTACGGCAAACCAGTGTCAAATATATATCGGGAATGGGCGCTCTACCCAAAATGTGGGAATAGTTGTAAGTTTACCTCCATTTTTTTTTATGTTATTTTTAATATGAATTGTTTCAAATCTATGTAAGAAAAATGTACGAAAAATATACCACAAGTTTATCTTATGTTATTTTATACTTAATAAAATTGATTTAACTTGAATAAATAAATTAATATATACTATAATTTTAGGTCAATTTATTATTTTAAAATTATTATTGATATATATATATATCGATATAAATAATTATATTATTTTTATTTTATTTGCAATATATTGGTCAACTCAAACATTATTGAAAAGAAATAATGTGATATATTACATATAAAAAGAGTAACAAATAAAAAATATGAAGTATCTCAAAATTAAAAAATTTAATGTTAGAAAGTAATTAAATTTTTAACTAAAAAATTTTAAGATTAACATACCCAATTTTAAAAAAATGTATACCTAAAAGTTCTAGTTAAAATATATGTGTATCTTAAGTATGTTTTATATTTCTCATTAGCCAGCTCCAATTGATATTGTACATTAAGTAATTATATCAGTATTTTTATTCTGTGATTTAATGAGAGCTATAAGTTTTCTCATAATTCTTACCCCTTATTTAGTTATTATAATACTAATAAAATAATTAAGGACCTTTCAAAGTATCTTGTTTGTTTCGAAACAAAAATTACTTATTATCATAAATTAAACGACAATTACATTGAATGTGTTATATTTTCTATCTTATAAAAATTTTCATAATAATAGTTGCACACAATATTATCTAATAATGCAATTTGTTTTTATAGATTTGGAGTCCTACTTTTACTACATGAAAATGAGAAAATTCCAACGAAAATTACAACAAGAATATAACGATCTTCTTAAGTTGAATTGAGAAAAATCATGTCTTTTGGTTTCTTAAATATATTTTATCTTATTGTGACTGTATTGATTTATTAAAATGTATTACAAAACGAGAAATGTGATAGATTAATTTATAAATTACAATGACATGTTATTTTGATGGTATATTTTTTCTATTAACTAAATAATGCCCCCAATATGAAATTATTTTAGATCTATCACTGCAATTAGCTTTCCAATGGAATTTCCATTGAATTTTTGCACAATTCCAATGACAGTTTTCCAACGATTGAAATATGGTCCAAAAAAAATCCAATGGAAATTCAAGTAATTGAAATCTTTAAATCCACTAAAGTTCAAGTAATTTAATTTGAACTTTGTTGGAATAGCCAATGAAATTTTCCAATGAAAGCAATATTTATGAAATATTAGTTGGAATTTTCTGTAGATTACCTTACCGTTGATTTTTTCATTGCAATATAGCAACTTGTTGCAGTCCTCTTAAACATTAATTTTTATGTAGTATTTATTGATTAATTGTGTTTACAATTTTTCTATTAAATATATTAAACACATGAACCTTTTAGTTCCTATATTTTTTTTTTTCAGAAATTACTCATTATTTTATCTCAAGATTACCTATTAATTTACCAATTGAGTTACATTTCTTACATATTAAATATTTAAAAATTATAATATTTCTTATTTTATATGTTCAATATGATATTTATATATTATATTAAAAAAAACTAATATAGCAAATAAAAAGTTATTTAAAATTAGAATAATAAAGATTTGTTTTGGTAACTTGCATGGATAAATGTACAAATAACTATTGTCTATCACATCAAATTTACACATAAAATTATAAGGAGAAAAAACTAACAAACGTTTAACAACTCAGCTCGTTTACGTCGATAAGTATATTTATAAAAGGTTTATATTTCTTCTAATAATTATAACATTTTTATTTATTACTTTGTTTCATATGTATTAGTGCGTGTCACAACTTATTTATTTTTAATATTATTTATCATATTTAATATTTTTTTAAAACTTTTATCGTGTTCTTTTACATGTTCTTGACTGTAGATTTGTCAAAAAATACATGATATAAAGTCTAGAATTGTTTCGACCATCTGTCTCATTATATATCAATTATTTGTATATCTTATATTATATTATATTTAATTACAATTTTTTTTAATTTATACTACAATTAAATATTTATAATTCATAAATTCGTCAGTAATATTGTCGAGTCAACTTTTGTTCATAAAATTTTAAAAAACATAATTATTTTCAATTATATGCTTATGTCGAATGGAGAAAAGGTATTTTTTTTAATTGTGTAACGTATATTATACATGAGAAAGATGACAAATTATGAAAAATATAATTTATAAATTATAATGACATTATGTTATTTTACTGGTATACCTTTTCTATTAACTAAATAATGCCTCAAGTATGAAATTATTTTGTATCCACCACTGCAGGTAGATTTCGAATAAAACTTCCATTGAAATTCTTACATTTCAAGTGACATTTTTTCCAACTGTTGAAAAATGACCCGAAAAAAATTCAAACGGAAATTCACACAATAACAAATAATGATAACTAGATTAATTAAATTCACTAAAATTTCAATATAATGTAATTTGATCTCGGAATAGTCAATGAAATTTTACAATGGCAGCTATACGAATAAAATATCAATTGGGATTTTCAGTGGATGTCTTACCGTTGGATTTTTCATTGCAATGTATTTTTTTATTCCTTTATAATTATATTTTTTATGTAGAAGTAGATGTATTTATAATTTTTCTATTAAAAATATATTAAACACATGAACTTTTTAATCCATATATTTTTTTAGAAATTGCTCATTGTTTTATCGCAAGACTACCTATTAACTTATCAATTGAGTTACATTTCTTGCGCATTAAATATCAAATAATAAAAAGTATTATTGTATATATATAATATGGTATTTATATATTATATTAAAAAACTAATAGCAAATAAAACGTTATTGAAAATCAAAATTATCAAAGCTTTATTAAAAAAAAAAAAATTCTAACCTACATGGATAAAAGTATAAATAACTATTGTCTATCGTCTAAAATTTATACATTGAACTAATAAGCGCAAAAATTTCACATGTGGTGAATAATTTGGCTCATTTACATCTATAAATACAAATTTAAAAGTTCTACAAATACTTTTACTATTTATAATATTTTTATTTATTACTTTTTTTCATAGTTATTAGTAAGGATTACAACTTAGTTATAAATTTAATATTATTTATTAGATTTATTGTTTTTTTAACTTTAAACTATTCTTTCATATGTATTTTAATATATATGTGTGTGTGTATAACTTTTAGGTTTGTTAAAAAATACATAAAATTAAAGTATAGCACTTTTTTGAATCATATATCTTATTTATATCAATTAATTTTATATCTTTATATTATATTATATATAATTATAATCTTCTCATTTATACTCAAATATATAAATTTTTTATTTAACCGTTTTATTATAATAACACATATTAATAGATAGATGAGTAATGATAATATATGAATATAATTATTTGATTAAAATAATTAATTTTCAACATGTAAATCATATTATGATTCTCGAGATATTCTTAATTTATTTATAGATAATTATATGGTTAAAATTAATCCATGTTGCTAAAGTGGTATCTCATTTAATGTGAAAACGAATAGATTAAGTTTTAGTATTATACAATTTCATAAAATTATTCTGGTCTTATGTATCGAAGAAATTGAATTGATTAGAAGTTTAGGTTGCTGAACAATCATGCAACAATTAATCTCGCATACTATTATACATTTTGTATAGGTTATTTTGAAAATAATGTTTCTATACTTTGTGGTCATTATGAGAAAAAAACAATATCGATTTCTAGTTTTATAAGTGTTTATGCTTTTTTTGTTGGATCAATTTTAATTTCTTTAAGGATATATATTAGAGTTATGAAATGTGATTACAATATTACCATTAAAATTATATTAAAAATAATGACGTTTTTCAAAACAACAATTCTATATCCTATCAAACAGTTTTAGAAATATGTGGAAGAACACAAATTTGTGAGAAATAATGGTGCCAAACCAACATACTGTAGTTGATTTTAGGATTGTGGAATGATTTGTTCATGTATTTGTATTTAATTAATTAAATATTAGTTATAATTGAAAATATAAGATATGATGGACATTAATATATTACTAATTTGCCATTAAAAACATGTCAAAGTAAGGGTTTATTAGGTAATTTATTTTAATATTTAAAAATATAAAAGATGATGTCTATTAGTTATTATTAATTTACCATTAAAAATATGCCAAAGTAAGGGTGTTTTAGGTAGTTCTTATTTTTACAAAAATATTCATCCTTTTAGAGTAGTATAGATATAGATAGATATAGATTTATATATGAATTAAATAAAAAAAATTAAGAGTAATATATGGTAACTTAAGAAAAAAAGAAAACTAAAATAATTTATGGTAATTCTCAAACCTAATAATTAAAATCAAACTTGAATATGTGTCAATACAAAGCACAAATTTATGCCAGATAAATTTATGGAGTACACAAGGTTGTCAAAGCTCAATGCATTTGAGAATTATATACAAGGACGTTTTGACTTTTAAGCGACTGAGGGTATAATAGTAATTGTGAAATCACATTTACCTTCGAGTTTCCAGCAGCAAAACTTGACGACAATCGGCAATCACTCATTCACTCTTACCTTCTTCTCTTCATCACATGGCGTCCTCCTACGAGAAATTCGAGACCCGTAGACGGAATCCGGACCCGAGTTCCGCCGCCCTTTTGGTCATCGACATCCAGAATCACTTCGATTCCGTGGCCCGCCCCATTTTGCCCGCCCTCAACGCTACTATCGACCTCTGTCGACGCACTTCCGTACCCGTCCTCTTCACGCGCCACCGCCACAAGCCCCCCGCCGACGACTCTACCCTCTTCGAGTGGTGGGATGGTGACCTCATTTTCGATGGCTCCCTCGAGTCGCTACTCATCCCCGATTTGCACTGGGAAGAGACCGACCCCCTCATCCTTAAGGACACTTACAGTGCCTTCATAGGTGTTTGCTGCTACTCGAATCTTTTTCGAATTTTTATTAAAAAAATATATATAAAAAATAATAATAATAATAATAATTCTTTTTTAATCGGTTTTATATTGTGTTCACTATCTGTATTTCACTTTTAATCGCATTACTTACTAGGTGGGTGCTGGTGGCATAATGAGAATGAATATAATTTGTTAGCTAAATCGAATAACAAACTGTGAGCTTTGGTGATTCTTGTAAGAAAAATTAGTTTTGTATCAATTTAAAGGTATCAATTTAACGGTTCCATTTTTCGTAAGTGGAAGACTTAGAAAATTCTCAAAACCATTTTAAGGTGAATTGAGAAATTAATTCTAAATTATATATGTGAGAATTGTAAGATTGAAGCAATTGAGTTTAAGTAACTCAAATATTATTGGATTTGCAAAATATTTTGTCTTTGACGAGTGTTAGGACAATTCAAACAAGACCTAATCATACAATTTGCATGCTTAAATTCTAGAGGGGTTCGTTGGGGACAAGTAGGAAAAAACAGAACTCGATTTCGAGTCCGTATGAGCTCGTACGAGCCCGCGGCACACGGGCGCGCAGCTGGTCGCGGCCACCGAAGGGTCGTGACCCTTGGTGACCATTAAGTGTCTTTTGACCACTAGATGCATCCGTTCTTGTTTAGACACGTCCCAAAAGGTGTCTTTGATACTTAAACCTTCAAGTTGCTTGAAGTTTGGAACTTTGGCTTTAAGCTAAAGGAAATCTGTAAAGACTATTTTTTTTCTAACTTTCTACCTCAGATCCAAAAACCCAAGTCGAACATCAACTTCGATTCCCCTAAATTCTAAAGCAAACAATCAGATAACTAGCTGCAATTAGCATAAAAATGTTTGAAAATAAAAAAAGGGGGAAAGGAAAAGACAAATTACCATAGCCATCTTCAACTAGAAAGTTGAAAATGTGGTGATCACACTTGTAGGTGAACTTGTTTTTCGAAGAGGACAGCCTCTGCAGACACTGGGTGGCAATTGCCGGGACATCTATAAATACCCACTAGCATGAAATCATTCAATAGATCAAATTTTCAAAAGCTCTTTGCATCCTTTTACAAAGTTCATAAATCATATGGTGTTCTTTGTGTTCCTTTCTATCTTGAGAGTTCCAAACAAAAGTAGTGTTCACCGAAGTCTTGCATATTTGAAGTACCGCTATATACAAGACTTACAAGTCAAAAGTCGTTGTATCTTGCAGGCGTTTGCCGTTAACCGTGGGTATTTTACGGGGCAATTTCGTCTTAAGGCGAACGTAATTATTACGTGCCTCGACTTTGATTATTATTTCGTTTTCATCATTCTATTTAAGCCTACTTTTTGATATTCACAAACCACACAAACTACAATTCTATAACTCTCGAGGAAGCTTATAGTTACTTCAATAGCTTTTTCAATTTCGTTTATGTGATATAACATTAAGCAGGCTAATCTATTTGATAAGCATACGAAGCTAAACTCAGCTTAAATCAGTATTTCAAGTAAGTACTAAATGTGTGGACGTTAAATTACTTGAGCTCAATTTGTGCATAATTGGAGCACAATTTCGTAATCCCTATCAGATTCAAACTGGCTTGAACTATGTTTGGCTGTGTTGGATTTTGTGGCACCCCTCTGTTTATTGAATTTCAACACAATTGCAGATGGGTGATTCCTGCTGTATTTGAATTTAGAGCAAAGTGTGAATATCTCATTTACTCCACAGCTTGGAGAAGTTGATAAGCATACTTTATCCAGTGTTGCCCACCATGGATATGGATATAAATGATTGGAGCATATTAAACATTGTTGTTGTTTAGCTTCTATTTGATGAGACTTTAGTATATATCTCCCCGACTCTCTGTAGAAAATGCGGGAATAATGGCCATGTATGTATATAACACTATGTTGTGCAGGTACGGGTTTGGAAGAGAGGCTGAAGGAGATGCGAGTGAAGGAGGTGATAGTGTGTGGGGTGATGACCAACTTGTGCTGTGAGACCACTGCTAGAGACGCTTTTGTTAGAGGTTTCAGGGTTTTTTTCTCGACTGATGCAACAGCAACCTCATCATCTGAGTTGCATGATGCCACTCTCAAGAACTTGGCTTATGGTTTTGCTTATTTCGTTGACTGTGGCAGGCTTCATCACGCATTCTCCAGTTCATAGATCACATGGTCTATCGATGTACATAATACTTTTGTGGTAAATGATTGGCTTTTGCATTATCATGATAGTGTGGTACCCTTGGGACAAAGGAAAAATATAAAGGAAAAAAGAGGAGTTCATGTTTTGAATTTGCCTCATTTGATGTATGGTTTTGGCTCATTGGGAAACTAGATGATGTATGTTTATGACTTTATGCCAACAGGGGTAGCAATTCTAAGATGCTGTGGTATCTATTCTATTTTTCATTATAAAGACTATATTATAAATAAATAAATATAATACAAACCCGTTATTAATTATTTACTAATTAAACACTAATTAGTAAAATATACTAGTCAAAATAGCTAATACGATATAAGTATCCGCACACCACTCATTGTGTCGCTAAGTTGTCATTGGAAGAAAAACTATGAATTGTGCTCATTGTGTTGCTAATTAGTTGTCGCTGGTAGAAAAATTATGAATTGGCAAGAGAGTAAAGAATAAATTGAAAATATAAGATTCCATTTATCCTTGAATATCTTTGGTAAAGATATTGCATAATAGAATCATACATTTCATAAAGGGGCAAAAATCAGAAAATATGGATAAATTTAGAATAGTCCATGTAAGTGTAAGCCGTCTATACAAATCAAGGATTCTGGCGGATTTTATGTCAAGCTTTATTTAGTAATCGACTAGGTGATGAGAATGAGTGTATGTTATGTGCAAGTAAATTTTTGCAGAGATGAATCAAATCCCCATGTATCAATTGCAATCCTGCGTGATCAATTTGCATATTTCTTGATAAGGTAAGGGACTCTTATCAATTAATCTGTATATATTTTTATATAGAGAGAGTAGTTAATTTGTGCGTTTCATTGCTGGGTATAACCATCGCAACTAGTGGATCACTAACTTATTGTACTGTAGTCCACCCAATGGATTCCTACTCATTTTTGCTTTTCTTGTTTCTTTTGTCCATTTGGAAGCACTTGTGTGCACAAAGCAGCAACATTAATTTCAGCATCACCGATTTTGGGGCTGTCCCGGACAGAAAAACCGACAGCAGCAAAGCTTTGGAGAGCGCTTGGCAGAAAGCTTGCCAGGTAGACGGAGGGAGTGTTTGGGTCCCGACGGGAACTTTCTTTGTGCGCAAGGCAGACTTGAATGGTCCATGCAACGGACAGACTCTTTTTGAGCACCGTGGGACAGTGATAGCCTCGGACGAGCCGACGCTGGGCAGTAGAGACTCGTGGATCGCATTTACTTACGTGGACGACCTCACTCTTGTTGGTGACGGCACTTTTGACGGCAACGGAGCCGTCTCGTGGTCCCACTGCCATGGCATTAATGTTGGGTGCAAGCAGATACCCCCTTATACTTTGAAGGTGAGTTATGTTAGGAATGCGTTGATCGGGCACGGGTTACGGTTTGTGGACAGCAAGGGTTTCCACTTGTTCATCTACGCATCGGACAAGGTGCATGTGGAGCAGGTGCACATATGGGCCCCTGGGGACAGCCCCAACACGGATGGGGTCCACATCGCCCTCTCCAACAACACGCGGATAACGGACTCGATTATCGGGACGGGCGACGACTGCGTGTCGATAGGGGACGGGTGCACGGGGGTGAATGTGACGGGAGTGTGGTGCGGTCCCGGGCACGGGATCAGCATCGGGAGCCTGGGAAAATACGAGGGGGAAGGGAACGTGGCCGAGGTTACCTTAAAGAACTGCACTTTCGACGGCACAGAAAACGGGGTGAGGATCAAGACGTGGGCCCAGTCGCTGTCGTCGTCGGTGGTGTCGGGAGTGACGGTGGAGGAGATTGTGGTGAAGGGGGCGAGTAACCCCATCATCATCGACCAGTTCTACTGCCCGGGAGGGAAGTGCACCCCTGGATGGGAGTCGAGCATACAGATCAAAGGTGTCAAATTTGCGGGGGTGAAGGGGATGTCGGCCACGGAGGCCTCCATTAGCCTCAACTGCAGCAAGAGCCATCCGTGTCAGGACATTGAGTTCTTTGGGCTCAACCTCACCTATGCGAATGGGCAGCCATCCGTTGCTTTGTGTGCGAATGCGGACGGCAAGTTTGGAGGGTCTCAAGTCCCTTCTCGTTGTTCCACCTAGACGAGACCCCGTATGATCATATATACATATTAGACACACACACAGAGAGAGAGAGAGAGAGCTGCTCTTTTTAGCGTTGATTTTAGGTACGTTGCTGGAGCTATATATTTTCAGTCTTTTGACTTCGAGCGGTAGCTGTTTTTATCTTGAATTTGGTAGTGGATTGATACATTGCTATAGTCACCTCACATTTATCACATTGCAATTTCCCGCGCTAAGCTGTATGTTATTTGAGAGTCCCAATTTATGAATACAATTTTGTGTTGACAACTTTCAACCACATATTCATGTATAACAAACATTGCCGCTCGACCCTCACGCTGCGTTCGGCCATCAATGCCATTGAGGCAGGCTGCCAGAACTCGCGTAGCCAAGTGCCGCTTCTGGTGGGCAATTGCGATGAAATAAAAAAAAAAAAAAATAGTAATTTGGCAACATCGACTGTCGTTTGACCGACCAAGGGAGGTCATCGGCAGGTTCACATGGTTTTGAAAATCCGTGGCCTGCCAGAGGCCGCGTGACGAAGGCGAATTGGTGGAGAGGAGGGTGAAATAGGGTTTGAGATTGCAGGGCTCGTTTTTAAAAATTTTGTTAAGTTCTAGAGAATATTTGTAATCTCAAAAGTTTTAATTAATTACAATTAAGGCTTGGGGCAAAATTGTAATTTTGAGAATTTTTAAAAAAACTGTAGTCTGTTTATTTGAAATTAATCTATGGCGTGTTTTTTAGAAAATTCTGCATCTATCCACGTAGGAATTTGACCTCCCACTTCAGAAATTAATCAGGTCACGTCATCATTTTATCATTCCATCATGAGAATTGGACGAGTCTTGATTAAAGTAGCAAAGTATTGCACCATTTTTTATTATGTTCAAACTCAATATGCATGATGGACCTTTTTCGAAAAATGGTCAATATAATGGATTGAAAATGAAACGTTGTCAATCTATTTTTAACATAGTAACTTAAATTTTCCTTCCCATACCAACTGGGATGATATAGATGAAGTGGCTACAACTCTATTCATATTTGAAGAACGGCAAGTTTATTTGCCACATATCTATTATCGCCAGTATTGTTCTTTTGTATCAGTACTTGTTTAAATAACAGATAACTAACTGTTTCACCAACTCTTCATCCCACTTATACAAATCCGAGACACATAACACTAGGTATGTAAACAATCCGAGCTAATGAGAGTGGGGAGCTCGACCTCATGGTATTCTAGCTCGAGCTAAAGCCTTTAGTGCATGCTTGGTTATAAAATTTCCATTCAATATTCAATCACTTTTTGAAACTCCGAATCTAACTCCGCACAACTATTCTCAATATTATCAATATTATTAAATAATATCAATCAATCATCATTACATATCACATATATTTTAATTCACTATTCATCCACTCACATAATTTTACCTATCCACCACTCTCAATCACCACTCTCGTATTTTTACATCAAATCAGCTTTAATTATTTTATTATAAATATTATTTTGATACAAACTTAAACACCTACTCAAACTTAACTCAACCATCTTGTTTTAAAATAATTATGATTAACCAAAAAACCAATCAAAACTAAAATATCCAATTACAAACTTATATCCAAGCACCTACTTAACGAGCCGAGCTCGGTTCGTTAACTAAACGGACCAGCAATTGAGCTCTAGTTCAGCTCGTTTATCAATATTAACAAGTCTAGCTCGAGACTTAGGTGTGTAAACGAGTCGAATCGATCTCTAGCTCTTAACTGAACAAGCTTTAAATGTGTTAGAGCTCAATTTGTTTATTAAACGAGTCGAGCCGAGCTCGAGCCTTAATGAGTCAAGCCGAGCCGAGTCCACGAGCAGCTCATTTAATTTAACAGCTCTATCAAGACTTAACGAAGTTTATTGGGTCGAGCTATAAAAAATTTTACAAAAATTTTATTTTCGAGACAAGTCAAGTCAAGCCCGACTCATTAACTAAATTAGAATTTCACGAGCTCGAACTCGACCCAATTACAATATTAGTCGATTCTTAACGAGATGAACTCACGATTTTCCCCACACCACTACGCACCCCACCTACAATATTTGAGGGCTTGGCATTTACATCGTACCGCCTATCCCCATCGGGGACAAACACTGGTTGGAGAGTTGCAGCGTGAGCTCCACCAACAATGCCATTTCCTATCTGCTTTCTAATGATGGAAATTAATTAATGGTGCGTGGCCCTCTCAATTTAATTATTCTATCCAATAGATAGGTAGAGCGTGTTTGTATATAAATATATTTGCTCGAGTTTTTTTTGTTAACTAGAGTTAATTTTTTTAAAAAAAAGTGGTATGATTAGTTATTAATAGAATTTTAATTTTATATTAAAATAAGATTTAAAATAAAATAATTAAAGTTGAATTAATGTAAAAGTATGAGAGAGATGGTGTTAAGTGATGGTTAGTTAATATGATATGAGTAGATAAATGATAAATTAAAATTAATGTGATACGTAAAAATGATCGATTGATATTATTTAATTATATTGATAATATTTAAGATAGTGGAGTTGAATTAAAGTTCATTGAATTGAATATTTTCATATATAAACACACCCGTAATGATCTTGGGCGGTATTAGCATGTGAATCGTGCGGTGGTATTAGAACGTGCACACGTTTGTGTGTTGACAACATGATAAAAACGCGGTATAATAGCTTTGCCCACAAGTCAATAGTATACAAATCTCTCTCGATTGGTTGAGAAGAGTAAATGGAAGATAATGGATTTGGCAAGTGGCAATGGTGAATTTGTTTATTTATTTCATATTTTGGCAAATTGAAATAATATACTAAACTAGTACAATACTCGTTTACTATACAGGTGCTTAAATATATAAATATTTATACAATAACAATTAAAATAATTTATATTTTTATTGTGAAATTATGCGCTGAATATGCAACGATAATAAATAACTAACAAAATGATAATTAATTTAAATGGTGCTCGTATTTTTATACAAAATTTTTCAAAAAAGATACTTTTAATTATATTTTTAAAATTATATATGTATAAAATGGATATTATTTATAACTTCATATATTGATTCGTTTTTCTTTTTAACAAAAAAAAAAATTATTGTATTGTGATTATATTTATATTTATAGAGTGAGTGTCTCATGTTTATTAATTTTTTAAGTATTTTAAATTCATATAACTAATAATTTAGAATTTACGTCGAAATGTATTATTTTCTAACTTTATGAAATATAAGATTATTATATTAATTATGATATTCCTTTATATTTACTATTTTAAATAATGTAATAACATTCAATTTTTTATTTAATCTATCTAAATTGAGAAATAATATTTTATAATATTTCTTAGAATTTATTTTATGTAGTGTTATCCAAATTTATGAAAAAAACTAAAATTATTATGTTATGGTGTATTACTGAATTAGATTTTTATTATTTTATAAAATAATTTATATTGTTGTAAGATTTTTATTTTCAATTAAGTTCATAATAAAATTTATTTTATTTATGAATATAGATTAAATTGTTTTTTAACTTTATATATGCAATATGGATGTCAAATCGAAAATCGTTAATAGGTTATGGTAATTCTCAAGAAAAAAGGAAAGCTAAAATAGGTTATGGTAACTTAAGAAAAAAGGAAAGCTAAAATAGGTTATGGTAATTCTCAAGACTAATAGTCAAAATCAAACTTGAACATGTGTCAATACAAAACACCAATTGATGTCAATAAGCTTACGACGCATACGAGCCTGCCACTTAGACTCAACTATTCGAAAATTATATACTGTGAGTTTGGTTGGATAAGCAATGGGCTTGGTTAATTTCTTATTTCATGTTTAGTCTATGGGATATAATAAGATTCAATAACTTGTTTGGTGGAGGGTTGATATCAGACTAAATTATATGGGTGTCCTTTTCAACCACAACCTTAACAACTTTATCAAATTAAAACTAAATCGTATTTGTAAGTCCACAATATTCATGCCATTGACCGCAACCAACGGCCATCAACCGCAATCACCGGCCGTCAACCATCTACCACCATCAACCCACAACTATCGTCAACCTCCCTCAACTGCACACCACGCTCAACATCCATCAATGTCGTCAATGAGCATAAAAATTTTAACCTAAATGGTAGAATACAGTATAAATAAATTAATGGATATGAGATCGAATTTGAACCATGTCATGAGATTTTTTATTGTGGACCATGTTAGTGTTATATACTGAAAGCTTGGCTTTGCATGTTATTACACATTTACCCTTTATGAATGAGAATCATGTTAGATTAAACAAGTTCTACATTCTGTTGTTCTGCACTTAGATAGGGTGGGTCGTCATCGGGAGAACCGAAGATCACTCTATCAGTTACTTGCGAACAAGAATAGTTGTTCACAACCTAGATGGACATGAACACCTCATCTGAACGGTTGTAGTGTCAACTGTACAGTTTGTCTTGACTGATTAGTTGCACTAGTACATTTATGTATTGAACAGGATCCCAGAGAGGAGAAGTTCATTTTATACTGATCGTCGTAAATATATTAGGCCTCGGTTAATTACTGCGTTCTCTTAACCCGTAAGATATTAAACAGGCAGATATATATAATATATATTACTTTGATTCACATGGGTGAGGTTCAGTTCGCTGGATTAATATTCCTACTGTTTTGGGTAATATTATTATATATAGGATGTGCTGTTAGGATATTTACGGACCATGTGCGTTAGTTTGATGATGTCCCCGGAGTGAGTTCATGAAGGATTGTTATGCTAAACCCTGCAGGTGGATTAAGTTCCGGCATAATAAGAATGTGATGAACGAGCGCTAGCTTCGGTGAAATAATAATAAATTAATTAATTCTTGATTGTCAGTAATCGAATTAATTAATGGACATTATATCTTAAACGTGGGGAGGTAAATCGAGTAATTATTATTGGAGTCTCAAATGTAATTTGGGCTAGGAAGAGGGA